AGCTGCAGTGGGAGGAGGAACATTATTATAAATATTAATTAAAATGAGTAGGGATAAAGCAGAGGAGGGGTTGGAAACCATCCCTAGCTGAACACTCCCAGCTCAGGATTATGGGCAGGGTCTCACAGTGAATTTAGTAATTTGCAAAGGAAAATGTGACTCCAGCTTTGGATTCCAGTTAGGATCAAGCACAGGGAACCAACATCCTGCATCAAGGCAGCAATTCTGAGTTTGGAAAATTCTTACTCAATTTTAGTGGGTTCATCTGTATGAAAAATAAAACCTATTTCAGCTACCACACTGCTTTTCCTAGAAGTGGCCAACAGCATAAGGAAAGGAGGATCCAAGTGAGCATAATCTGACTTTTTCCCAATCAATTTTCAGCTCTTAATAATCACTAATTTGTGATTTACTGACCCAAAATTTCTGGCTCATCACAGCAGTCACCAGTGGTCTTGAGTTAATCTCAATTTTTCCTGAAATAGGTTCAGCTATGTGGAGTTTCTCACTTGCACTCACAGCAGCAAGACAAAGATAAATCTTCACAAATGAAGGCAAAAACTGATCTACAAATCACAAATGTTACAAAAACATGAAAAAACTTACCAGTCTGACGTTAGGTAATGAAACAAACAGAATAAGTCAAATATCCCTGAAGAACTGTGTAAACAGAGCAAATAATTAATGAAATCTCTAACTTATGGCTTGATTGGAGCCTGGAGCCAGACCCTGCAAATAAAGCTCCCCTCTATTAGTAAACTAGAAAAGATAATTTTTATGAACAGCAAAACAGAAAAAACCCTCAACAAATTACCAGGATTTCTTTAAACAAGTCAACATGTACAAATCAGAACTAGGGAACACCTCAGCCTGTGATCAGAGAATAATTTAGGTCAGAAGAGACCTCTGGAGGTCTCTAATCCAACCCTGTCCAGCTGAATTTTGAGTATCCCCAAGGATGGGAATTTCACTGACTTTCTGGGCCATTTCTACCACTGAGCATGAAAATACTTCTATTTATACTCATCTGGGATTTTCCTTCATGCAGCTTCAGCCCTCTGCCCCTCAGGGTTTTGCTGGACACCTCTGAGAAGAGCCTGGCTCTGTCTTCTCTGGAATCACAGAATATCCTGAGTTGGAAGGGACCCACAAGGATCATCAAAGTCCAACTCCTGATCCTGCACTAGACCCCCAAGTTAAAATTAATTTATTAAGACAGTTAAAACCCAAAATCTGGGATGTCCCCAGAGCCAGCCTGGACAACCCCAGCTCCTGCAATCTCCCACTATGTGACATGTGCTCCAACCCTCCCATCTTCCCCCTCCTGCCCATGCAATGGCCCCACAAATGATGGACAGAGGGGTCCAAACCCTTTCCATGACCTCCTGAAGGCTCTTAATGAGATTCCTTAATTGCTGCAAGGGTGCACTGCAGACTCACATCCAGCACAGGATTTCACTGTAACCACATGTGTGTCTGCAGAGCATTCAACAGAAAACAAATCTGCTGATTTTTATCAACTCATAAGGCTTTTGTAAATGTTTGGGATCTCATACTTCAGGAAAAAGGGTGGGGGAACTAAAAAAATACCCAACACCAAAACAATCCAGAAAAGAAGTGGAGGTAGAAATTGTTGTTTTAAGAAGACGGTCAGAGACAACAACTCAAGTAAAAGGACTTTATGAGGGACAAAATATCAGCCAGAACTCACTCTACGAAGGTAAAAGCAATCTGTGACCATCACAGATGAGGAGCTTCTTAAATTAACTTCTTCTCTGTTCACAGAACAAAAAGGCAGCTTGGATCTGCCACCAGAGCCACTTCAAGGGAACAAACTGCAGTGACTCCAGCCTGGCTACAACAAACTGCCACTGCACTGCACTGCTACCCAAATGAGGCTTCATTTCCAAGGCAGCCCACAGGCAGAAAGACAAAGACAACTCCCATATTGTGGAAAAACCCCCAAAAGAAAGAATTACAGGATTCCTGAATTCCAGGACACAGCCTCCGCTGATTCTTTCACTTACTCCAGATCACACTCGCTCGCCTCGGTACCATCAGCACCTGTCCCATTACAGATAATTCACCTCAAACCAAAAAGAGATTGGCCAGCTGCAAATGGCTCCTTATGAACTTCCAGAATGAAGGGAACAACCTGCCAGGAGCACCGTGGGGACAGCTGAGGTGCCACCCACACCTCCTGATGCCCAAAGAGAAACCAGAACAGACACACCCCAAACAGTGACCCCATGGAACCAAGGGGCTGATTTCCTAAAAATATGATATTTTCTCTGGTAAGATGACAATGTGGGAAGGTAAAAAACTGGGTATTTACAGCCCAGGAAGATCTGCCAATCTCCAGTTGCTCACAAGGGGCTTTTTACCTGTTTAACCTTCAGAGAAGATACTGTGTGGGATGTCAGCAGCTTCCTGACAGTGACAAACAGAATTAAGACCAGATTATTCTACATTAGATGGTACAGACACACAATTTCAATGGTGTTACTTTGATCCTGCATCACATGAACCTATAATCAGGATACAGAAGTTATAATGCTATTTTTATTCTTCCCTATTGCTTTAACAAGGCAAAGCCTCAAACAATGCCTTTTTTTTTCCTTTTACAGATACTATAGTAAGCAATAAGCAATATTTCTTTTAAAATTGCAGCTGTCCAACAGTTTGAGTCTGTTCTTTTTAAAATGAAACAGCCAGAACAAATGGTGGTGGCAAGCCCAACGTAAAGAGGTCATCGATTATTAAAATCTCCTTACTATAAATCGTGGATGTGGCTTGTCAGCTCAGTGTGTGACTGTGGAATGAGTAAGTAGGTAAAATTCCACTAAGGCTCGAGTTTGCTCGATCATTCTGCTGTGCAAAAATAGAAATAAAAGCTCTCCCCATCCTTTCACTCCTAAGTACCAAAACATTCATACAGGCAGTAAGAAAATAACTGCAGTGGTGCAATGGTCACTGATCCAAGTCCTGCCTTTCCTGAGTCCGCCCTGACGCTACTCATGAATTTGCCTACTCGAGAAATGCAATAAAACAGGAAAAAAAGACGGCTTCATTCTGCTCCACTGATCTGTATCTAAGGAAAGCACATAAATTCTCCAATGAAATCCATAAGTGGAAGTCGAGGCCAAGCCCTACCTATAGATCTTCCAGGGGAGAGAGAGGTGGCACGGCAGTGCCCTCTGAGAGCACAGGATCCCCTCAGCACACGGGAAAGCAGTTTGCTCCACATGGACAGAGGAAAAGCTGAGCTGGAGGCCTCAGCCTGGCTCAAAACCTGCTAAGGAGCCACACTGGAGCCATCACAAAGCTCTCTGAGGGTTAAGAGGGAGGAAGGGATGAGAACAAGGCGAGAAACAGGAATTTCCCCTTGCTCCACCTCCAAAGCAGAGGGGAGCAAAGGGAAACCCATCCTTGAGCTGTTTTCCCCTCTTTAGGCTATCCCCACACAAACTGGGAAGGTAAAGAGGAACGTGGAGGGAAATGCTATGCAAACTTTTCTCTGTGTGTCTCCATACAAAAATTTCCGTAGGTTTTGAATTTGTTCTCTGTTAATGTAACACAGCCCTGCCCGTCTCTAACGCTTCTCGTGCTGTTTCCATCCAAACGTTTCCTCTTACCGGCAGCAACATATCATTTTATCAGGATGCCAGGAGATCATTTCCACACAATGCTAGCAGATGTAATTTTCTTAGATGCACACACAGTTCATCATTTAGATACTAGATGACAAGGTGATCGCAGGGTGACTCTGTAATGCAAGTTCGCTGTTTGGTATTTGGAATTCTCAAATGATAAAAAAAAGACTTATCAAATATAAATATCTTTAAGAAAAAAGTAACAAAAGTGCTACATATGATCAAGGAAAACAATTCCATTAGTTCCTGCTACTTAGAGTAGGTTTGCTTTACAAATATTACCACATCCATTATCAGTATGGCTTCCAATTATTAATTAAATTGCTCGTAGCAGTATAGCTTTCTCACACCTTAACAAAGACAGAGTAAAGAGAACACAAAACATTCACACCCCATTTCTCAGGTAAGAGATCCTCCTGCCTTCAAACAAACTAAAAAAAGTTCGTATTTAGGAGAATATTTATGCTCTGATGGTTATCTAGCAAAGGTCAGATGTCGAATTCTCCAGTAACCTTTCAGGCTAGTCAGGACGTAGGCATTACTTACACAGGCGTGTAAAAATCCACTCACCCATATTAGGACCTTAACAACCTTCCTGGAAAACATTGCTTTCGAAAGTGGCAAAGTGGAGAGGGGAGCAGAGCGGGGACAGAAAAGGTGAGAGAGGAGGAATTAAAGGTGAAATTGTTAATGACAGATGGCTAAGAGTCTAGACCTCTTCTGAGCAGGCACTGCCAGCCATGCCAAGAACGAGCAGTGGTTCTGAGAAGTGGACTTGTTGTCCATTTAGACATTCAGCTCATTTTTCATTTGATCCCAGGCTGGGCTTCAACCACGGTCGCAGAGGCAGAAGGCAGCACTTCTCCACTAAGCCACGCAGCTTGTGAGAGCAGAGGATGTCTGTGCTGAACATGTGAGCATCAACTGAAATGTGGGAATGTGTTTCCAATGGACATTCTCGGCACAGCACCCGAAAAGTAAACGGAGTCACTGTATGACCAGTGAGGCACGGCTTATTGCAGCTGGAAATCATTTATTCCCATGCTGGAGTGGGGTTTCTAAGTGTTCTTTTTACTCTCTGTTGATACTCCCAGTCTGGTGTCCATCGACCCTGTGCCACTACCTCAGCTTGCATCCTTTCAGTCTCAGGGCAGGGAAAGCGTACGGACTATCGGTTTCAACACCATCTCTAAGGTTATCCAAGATTTTAAGTGTAGCCTAAAGACTTGTAATTGAGGGCTGTCTAAAATACCTGGAAGCACTTTGAATGCTAAGACAGAGCAGCAAGATTTTTTTTTCTCTTTTTTTTTTCTTTTTTTTGTTTTTTTTTTTAATTTTACCTTTCTAGCCACTGGGGGCCGGGAGAGGGAGGTTGGTTGGTTGATTGATTATTTATTGGGAATTAATACTGAGAGAGTATATGCAAAGGCTGAGGGCACCATGCCATCTTCACAGAACAAGACCCTAACAGCTAACTGACGTACAAGAAACTGCAAAGTTATACTGTAAGAACACATATTAAGGACTGAGGAAAGTCTGCTAAGGTGCTACGTCTAAAACTAAGTTACTTCTTGCTTTGACCCTCCCCTCTCTTGGCATCAGTCGTCGTCCAGAGCCTCTGTCTTGATCTCGTTGGCTCCTTGCCGGGCCAGCGCCAGGATGGTGTGGTTGACTGCTGCCATCTCCACTGCTAAGGAAATGGGGTCTTGGTGGTCACTATGGCTAGTGCTGTCATCCTGGGAACCATGTGGGAAGGAGCAGAGAGAAGCAGGGTTATTCCACGAGTCCAAAAAATTGCAGCGGAGAAAAAAAAAAATGTGCCGAGTGATTGTGGGGGGACAGAGCGGGGTCATAATATGGGTTTAGGACTGGTTTAGGACTGGTTTAGGATTGGTTTACAACTGGTTTAGGACTAGTTTCCCTCACTGTGCAGACAAAGGTAAACCAGGCAGGGAGTGGGGGACCCAGCTCTGTAGGAAAATATTGAATTATAAAGACACAAGTGATACACGAGGTAAAATCAGGAAAGCAAATTAAAACACAAATCACTGGGCATGGCACAGGTACATGCTTATAGTTGGAATATACAGTTCTCGTCATCCCTGGTCATGGCAGGGGGTAGAATGAGATTAACTTTAAGGTCCCTTCCAACCCAAACCATTCTGTGGGTTCTCTGATCCTATTTGATGCCACAACAGAAAAAGAAAAGGCAGAGAAAAGAAAAATCCCAAGGGAAGAAGTTCCCTCGTGAGAAAAAGCTAAACAGAGTCAAGTTCCTCCAGTTTGGGGAAGAAATGGCTGATGGTTGATATGATAAATGCTTATTACAAATAATTGGAAAATAAGAGGACAATTGTCCTTGGTTTTTTATGATTTAATAATCAAAGACACTGGCTGGAATGATAATGTGATCCAAGGCAGCAGTGGGAAGCACTGCTCACTTAGCACAGCTCAGTTCAGGATTCACTGATTTCTACATCTCACAAAAGTAAAAATGGCTTTAAAAGGTGTATGTTTGACTAATCCATGGGAAATTAGTCTGCTAGAAATTATGGAAGCTCAGGAAGCCTCTTAAAACTACTGACTTCCAGAAGCTGGAAGCTACTAGAATGAAATAATTCTATATACATTAGGGAAGTACTTTAACTGCTATTATTGACAAGAACCATGACAAAAACTGAGCCTAAGCCTTGGCCCAAGTCAGCATCCTGTGAAAACATTGAATTCACACAGACATAGGGGAAAAGGTGATGGAAAACTCTTCAAATGCTAAGGAAACCAGTGACTGAAGTGGACTGGAACCACCACAAATCATATAGGGAATTTTGGGAAAAATCATGGTGCTTTCCCCTCTTTAAAACAGGAACTAACAATTATCCTCTTGGATTTTTAAATTATTACAATTGACGGGAAGGAAATGATAAACATTTATCAGTCTCCCAACAGCCTTCAAGTGATGAAATTGTGATTTAAAATTTAAAACGTGCATAGACTATTTTTAAATTAAGATGATGGGTGGCAAATGCTGAGGAGGACAAAAAAATGCTAGGATTTGGTAAAATCCTGAGGTTATTGAGAAGGATTCATTCATTTATAACAAGAGTCTGGTAAATTTTAGGGCTTCTCAGAAATCTTTGTCATGGTACAAACACAGAGCCCTAAAATCTGAGGTTTAGGCACTTTGTTAGTATTTAGATGAACTTTGTGTTTTAAAGTTTATTAGAGTTTAAGTGTATCTGTGGAAAACAGAATTTCTGGGTTTAACAGCTAAGGGATGTTAAATGGTCATCAGGAGAACTTGCCATTTAATCTGCTTTGCTGCTAATGACTAATTACACCTCATAGAGGAGCCCAGATTACTGAGAAATGTCATTTCTAAGGCCTCTAAACAAAGACCTTAAATTTTAATAACTCATTTATTTCTCTTTCCAAAGTATGCTAGTTAATGCACAGAAGAAAAACATAGTTCAGGAGTCTACATCACGCTCCACCTCAGTGTTCCAGTCCTGTCTGTGTGACAGGGAATCTTCTGGGCTTTGCAGTGGTTTCTAAATATTTTATGGCAGTAACAGAGCAGCTTCTCATCACTGAGAGCCAGAAAAGTTGGTCCCACCAGAAAGGGTCTCAATCCCACCAGGAGCAGAGCAGCTGGGGATGCCAGCTCTGCCAGGGATCTGCTGCACTGGGCCAGAGCCAAGTGTGCCAGGGACTCATTCCAGGACACTCAGCTGCTGTTCCACTCCACCAGCAGCCTTTGCAGAGGGAGAACTCCCAGATTCTCCCAGAAAAGGCAGGGAAAAGTGATCCAGCCCAGCTGTGGGGCAGCACAGAAATATCTCCTCTAAAAAGCAGGAGTGAACTGGTTGAGTCAATGGTGCCAAACACACACAGCCATGAGGGTTTGGTTGGAGCTGGTTTCCCAACACTGGGAAACCAACCAAATTTCCCAATACTGAGAAAATTGGGAAGGGGATTCAAACCTGTCAGGAAGGTGTGTGAAAGAAGGGTCACCAACTTTAGGGTAGGTGAGGGCTCAGAGTGTGGGAAGGGGTATTCTTTTGCTAAGAGGATTAAAAAAGAAGTTGCTGTCAAGCGTTAAAGAGAAAGAGAGAACAGGCAGGAATTAAAATGCAAAAGCAAACAAACAAACAAAAAAGACAGATAACATGTGAAGAATCCAAATAGTGGCACACTCTTACAGAACAATATGGAATGGGCCAATTAAAGGTCAGAGCTTAGTAAATCAAATCCTTTCCCCCTCCCCTTCACCCTTTGCCTGCCAGTGTCTGAGGGGTGATCCTGAGAAGCTCCTGAAAGGTTCTCCCACAGAGCAGAGGGAGCTCAGGAACTTCCAGGAGGGTGCTCAGAATCCTGTTGGGGAAGGCTGGCACAAGGAATTCTGAAGGCTCCTGGGCAGAGCTCCCTCCTGCTCATGTCTGGGGCCAGGTCAGCAGCTTACAGCAGGGATGGCCCTGGCTAGAACAGGGCCTTTCATGCAGAAAGAAATCAGAGGTGCAGGAGGTGCCCAGTTTTTCAGGGATAACTGCTGGTGCCTGACACACAGGACTGTGAAAGACCTGTCCGTCCCTTCCTGAGGGAGGGGAACTCAGAGCGACAGGGAAGGAGAGCGTGGGCATGGCAGGGCTCTGGCTGAGGTGAGGCTCTCCTCAGACATTGTGTGCGGTGTGAGGGGTGTAACTTGCTTGTTTGGAGCAGATCCTCCTGTCTTCTTCTACCTTCTCTGCTTCTCTGCCTCCCTCGGAACACCGTCCCTCCTCCTCCCCGTTGCGTACTTGCCAAGTGTCCTGTTGTGAGGCAACAAATCCACGTGGGTCAATACTGGGTATTCTCACCCTCTCCCCATCACAATGGCACAAAAGCCAAACAAAACAGGATTTTCAAGAGGCAAAAGGGCCTTTTGAGGTGTTTGAGTTCTCCCTGTTTGGGCCACCAGGCTCCAGTGCTCACCTGCTCTGAGTAGTCGTTGCCGTCCACGTCGTCGCTGTTGGAGTGACCTCCTGGACTCTGTACATCTATTCCATGGCTCTCCAGGATTGCTGCTTCTTCGAAAAAAGCAAATGGATCCCTCATTTATCTGATGCATTGGAGAAGTTCAAGTAACTCAGGGGTTTTTTGCCTTTTTCAGGAAGTTAGAATAACTGAAGGAACAGGGTTAGTACTTAGCATTTTCCTTTTCACTCTCCAACATTTGGGAAGACAGCACAGGTACAAAACACTGATTTGCCTGAAATCCTTCCCTGCCAACTACCAGACCTGTCTGGGAGTAAAAATCCCTGTATTCCAGCCACTCCTAACAGAAATCTGTGTCATTTCTGAGGTACTGGGGTGACAAAGGCATTCCCTGTACATCTTCCCCCATAGCTTGGAGTGGCAGGACTCCAGGGGGGGAGGAATGTCTGAAAATAGATGGGAGAAATTTCTGAAAGCACTTCAGGGATTTGGAAACACAAAAATCCATCTTCCAGTAGGATCCATATATCTAAAGCTCCCCTTGATTCTTTCTGATGTCTTTTCAAACCTCCTCTCCAAACAGTAAGTTTGCTTTATTCCCCCATTCCTTTGAGAAGCCATTTTTACTTGTAGAAAAATAAATTTAGTTAAACTTCAGTAACAAGTTAAATGGTGTAATAAGAGGGCATTTTTCCTATTCAGAAATAAGGCAAAACAGTGGAACATTAAAAATACTGGAAATATGCAGATACAGATGTCTGTTCACCCAAGTGTTGCAAAAGTAATTCTGCATAATATCTAAGTAAGGGCATCAAACTTTTTATGAATGGCAGGAGTTTGTTGAATCCACAAAATAAAAAAATCACTGAGGTGACTTATTCTCCTTAGAATATCTTACCTACACCAGAGGGTCTCCTTCCTACAAGTTCAGAGTCACTTCTGATTCCCCTAAAATCAGCTGAGAACCCACAGTGTTAACTCTGAAGTGACTTTTGATTTTTCCTGATCATCAACAAAAAATGTGGCTTTTTTCCAGCCACTTGTCCCTGGGCAAAACCTTGGAAAGCTGTCAGGGGCAGAGGTATAACCAGGATAAAAACCACACTAAGTTTGTGAACCTGCCAACATCTTTATCTCCTTTATTTACAATTTTGAGGTTTCGTTTCAGATTTGAGTTTGGATACTCAAAGGAGGGAAATGCAACTCTCCTTCCACCTATAAAATTCTCACTTTGCTTTTTAAAGCTGATCTTCCAGTAAAACTTTGTAACTGCATCACTTTTTCCTGCACTGATGACAGAATTCTACAAATTACACGTATTTCACAAAAAAAATCTGGAACAGCAAGGGACTCATTTTCATAATTCCTCCACATTTCTCCTTATGCTGTCAGCACCTCTGGTGTTTTCACTAATTTATTCTTACGTAATTGCCACCTCTCCTGAGCAAACCCCAAGCCCTGCAGGCAGGCTCTGTGATACATTACCAATATTGGCTCTTCTCTTGATCTCCTTCCTCCTGTTGGCAAACCAATTGTACACTTTGAGGGAGGTAACTCGCTCCAAATCCGACAACTTTTTTCCTAGGAGAGCAACAGGAGGGAAAAATAACAGTTCAGTGGTGTTAAAATAATATTTCAGTGGTGTTACTCACTGGGTTCCAGAGAAGCTGTGGCTGCCACATCCCTGGGAAGTGTCCAAGAACAGGTTGGACAAGGCTTGGAGCAACCTGGGATAGTGGAGGTGTCCCTGTCCCTGTTCTGGGATTGGAATTTTAGATGAGCTTTGAGGTCCCTGCTCGCCCAAACGAGTCTGGGATTCTATGGGATAAACCCCTGAAACACAAACAGCACTGGCAAGTTACTATAACTGAGAAAAAAGTGAACTTTATGTGGATCACATTCCTGTGTCTAGATGCTGTGGCACTAACTGCCAAATATCTTATTTTCTTCTGTTTTTTAAAAATCTGAATTACAGGAATTTGTTTGCAGCTTTAACCAACTCAATCCAGAGCCATGGGAGAATGAAGTTTTTGGGGTTTTTTTTCAGTTTGAGCACAAAACTGAGATTCAAAAACTGAAATTCCTGCCACAAACCCCATCCCTGGGGCTCCTTCTCTTACTATGTGTCACAAGGGTACAGTTCACTGTTGTATACAGCAGCAAAATGAATGAAGAGGTTTTGTGTCACCCCTGCAATCTGCTTTCCTTTCTCTCAGCACCCATCAAACCCTCCCAGCTGTACCAGGACACTCGGGATCTTTTGGGAGAACGGGGGTGGATGCTGGAAACTGGATTTTTACATTTAAACCAACAAAATATTCCCAAAAACCAGAAGGCAGCTATAGAAAACAACGCCTTTATCTGGTCATCAGCATAAATAAGGGAAGACTGGAGGGATTCAATATTCCAAGGACATCCTGGAAACCTCTTCAGTTGCTCTTGACCCTATATAAAATATTCCCCAATCTGCATCCTCAGACCTCTGCAGGCTACACAGGGTTGAGCCTCCCTGCTTCTGACTCCTTTCCAAAGTTTATTTATTCAGCATACAAAACACCCATGTAATTGCAGCAATCTGCACACTTAAATAAGTTAGGAGAGAGATGAGACAAGTGAAAGAAAGAAAACTCTGGAAATTGATAGCTTGGCTGCTGCCTAATGCTTTGCATCAGCAGCACTGGCAGTATTTTACTGCTCCCTGACATGGCCTTGCAGCACTTTGTTCCAAGTTGCTCCACAAACCAGCAGCACAGCCAGGAATCAAATCCTCAGCTCTCTGGTCCTCTTACCTGATGGATTTTTCAGGGAAAATTTCAGCAGGTATTAGGGAAAAAGTACTCTGCCATGAGAGTGCTCAACATTGTGGAACAGGGGCCTGGAGATGGGAAAATCTCTGGTTTTGGGGATACTGAAACTGAACAATCCCATCAGATGAACTCCAGAGGTCACTTCCATTCTAAACTCTCTGACCCTGAGCTATCCTGTGACAGTCCCACCTCTCCACAACTCCCTGAAAGGATAAAAAAGTGGGGATCCATCTTTTCTCCCAGGGAACAGGGACAAGAGGAAACGTCCCTCAATGGCCTCAAGCTGCACCAAGGATGCTCAGGTTGGATATTGGGAATAATTGTGCCTGGAAAGGGCTGTCCAGCCCTGCCACAGCTGCCCAGGGCAGTGCTGGAGTCCCCATCCCTGCAGGGATTTAAAATTCCTGTGGCACCTGAGGACATGGATCAGTGGTGGCCTTGGTTGGACTCAATGATCCCAGAGGCTTTTCCACCCTAAATAATTTTGTGATTCCATGTGCATGACTCACACTTTAGTTGCCTTCTCATTAATTTTTATTCTGGTTGTAAGAAATCTAAAAATATCCAAAACACAAGTTCTGAAATCTATGTAAATGTTTGGTTAGCAAAACTAAGCCAAGGCAGGTGCATCCACTAACACTACACTGAATATTCATGCTCCTCTCCTAAGTATAATTTCTCCAGAAACAGGGAAAATGCAACTTGTTGACCTAAAGATAAGGTCCTGCATTCACACCCAGGTTCTAATCTGAGATCCATGTCTGGAAGCTGTAAAATATTGAAAATAGGAGAGCTGAGCTCCTTTCTCCTCCAAAAACCTGAATTATCAGTCAAAGGTTGATGATCCTGGAGGTCTTTTCCAACCCAAATGATTCTGTGATTCTGCAAACATCAGTCTGAGAACTCAAGGTGCTGAAATCTCTTTGTTTTTGGGAAGGACCCCCCAGCAGCTCCTCACCTGGTTTTTGTATAACTGCATTACAGGCGTTGGCAATTTCTTCTCTCTTTGCCTCGTCGGGATATTGATTCTCATTGAAGTAACTGCAAAAGGGGAAAAAAAAAATCAGTTTTTTTCTTAAGAAATCAGAGTATGAAGGTTCCAAAGCAGTTCCACTAAAAGGTGTCAGCTGCTGATTTATGCATCACTCCTCCAAAGGTACCACAGTGAATTTTATGGTAAAGTGACATCAGCCTGCACTTATGTCCATATGGAATGAAGGGAACTTCCCAAATCCCTCAGATAAATGAGTATTATCTCAGAATTTGGAATATTGTACTAGGACACCCAAAAATGAACGCAATTCCATGGGTATCAGAGTTAAGACTGTCAAGTGAAGCATCATCTCCAAGACACCACAGGCCTTTGACTTTACTATCATTTATTTATTATTTATCCATTGACACACCCCCATCTCAGGCAGAATGTTTAACATTTATTTTGATATATTTGTTAATATATACACATCCATACATACTTTTAATATCTGTACTATGCAAAACCCCACAAATACTGCAGAGATAGATGTGGTGTGGAGATGCTATGAAATTACACAGGATGATTTCTACAGTCAGATTGTTTTTTAAAACCACAATTCAAAATTCTTCAATCTTCCTCAGAACGACACATTGAGTACAGCATGTTTCTAACACTATTTTTTCTGGAATAATTGTGATTTTATTGTACTTTATATGCAGTAAACATCCTATAAAAGTTAAAACTGTTTCCTCTTTTACCTCATTGAACCGTTCTGCAAATTTTAATGAACTGATTTACATTCCACAAAGCTTATCAGATCTGCATTAAAACCAACAAAAAGTCCTGTTTTCTTCAATGGACTCTGCTAATCACACCACAAGCGGGGACTACCACTGTTTTTTCCTGTAGATTATCTATAATATATAATCCTAGGATTTCTTTTATCAACTTTGATCAGCAGCAGGCCCGGCTGTTGGACAGCTGCTCTGGATTTGAAAAGAAGATATTTACTTCCTTAACTGTAGATCATTTGGTAATAGGAGATTCAGGCATATTGAGGCAATTATTATTTTCCATTATTTATCCAGGGGATTGGCCCCTGTTACTTTCTATGGAAATCCAGATTCTGTTCCATACAGGAACTGTTTCTGCCCAAACTTTGAACACTCAGGTTGAATTTTAGGTGCCACTACTTCATCCCCCTGCTCACAGAGTCATTTACAGTCACAGCTGTGCCCAAAATTGGGTCCTATTTCAAAGTTGCTGCTCAGTGAGTAACAGAAATCACACATCAGCTCAGAGAGTTGCACCATTCATGTACTTCCAGGTGATCTCCTGGGAGAGAGCAAATGGAACCACAGGAATAGCCCAATCTTCCCCAAAAGAAGGGCAGCTCCGCCTTAAATTTTAGTTCAAGTGTTGGAAAAGTTGGGAATTTGTGAAATTAGAGGAAACTAATTGCTGGAATTAAGGTGACTGAAGAATCAAAGGAGGGACTGGTTCCCTGACACAGGCCTGGTGTCTTTGTTCAGCTTTATGAGAATTTAGAAAGAACATCAGGCCCTCTGGACATGGTAATTTTTCAAGTGTATTCTCCCCTCTTCCATGTCTATCCCCTTTGTGTGATTCCAGCCTTTGAAGTGATGTGTGTGTCCATCTCAACCTGCAAATTTCTCTTCAAAGGGGTTGCAGGGTTCTGGACAATGGCGCATTTTTAGGGAATGGAGAGCTCGGAAAACAGAGCAGAAAATGCTTTTTCCAGTAGTCAGTGAAGGAAGCAGAAGCTCAGGATGCCAGTTCAGCAGCCCCATGACAATATTTCAGCTCTCTCACCTACAGAGCACTGCCCTCTGCCCAGAGCCAGGAATCATTTCCTCTTCTGAGCACCCTGAGATAAAGGAACATCAAGAGACCACAGCTGAAAAGTGCTGCTCTGTTATTTACAAGAACATATTGCCTGCCCTGGAGTCCTAAACAGCACCACATGTACAAAAAAATAACATTCATGGAAGAAATTACAAAATGCATAAAATTATCAATCAGGGTGACCTTGAAGTGCCCATTCTTGTTAATTCAAGAAACTGAGACACTAATTAAAGCAGCAAAGACAGCACCAGAGCCACCAGTGACCCTTTTCTTGTCACCTAACTCAACAACGTCCCTTTCCCAAGACACAGCCAGGCTTTTGCTGTCTCCAACAAATAACAAAAATATTTTCTACCAACAACAAAACTTCAGCCCATGCTTACATTTCTCTGGGACAACAGGAAATCTCCCTGTGATGGAGCAAACTTTCAGAACTGGACAATGAATGAGACACCTCTTCTAGCAAATGAGGGAGTTTTGTGTATTCCAATCATTTCTGTGATTCAGAAACTGCTAAAGTAGTAATTCTTGTCTCCAAGAAGTAATTCTTATCTCATTTTACAACTAAGTTATAAATAATTAATTTGCCTGACATTTCTCATCAGTCTGAAACATTTTCTTTAAATTCAAACAGGAATTTCTGATCTTTCCATGTAAAATGTCTAAAAATTTCTACAAGAAAAGTGATTCTCACTAGAAAATGTGAAATTCTTCTCACTCTAAATCTCAATTTATGAAAAAGCATAAAAAATCTCAGTGAGCTGTCACACAGCTGTCCTGGTCCTTTTTGTGGGGATCCCAAAGCCAAGTGGGTACCAGCTGGAAGGGGAACTAGTGGAGCAATTAAAACTCTGTTTCTGTATCTGATAGTAATTTTAGAACCTGCTTCTCCTTCCCCTGCTGGACTATTCCTTGTCCTCATTAATGATGGCACTTCTCCTCTCACACTTTCATAAACTTGGCCAGCCCTCAACTTTGTGCTCACCTAAACTGAATCTTCCCCTCAGAACTCAGTCCCAGAATGGTGTGGGGTGGAAGAGACCTTAAAGATAATTCAGTTCCAACATCCTGCCATGGGCAGGGACACCTGACACCATCCCTGGCTGCTCCAAACCAATCCTGAATATGTCCAAGGATCCAGGGGCAGCCACAGCTTCTCTGGGCAATCTGTGCCAGAGTCTCACACCCTGGAAAGAATTTCTCCCCAAAATCCAACCTAAATCTACTCTCCTTCAGCTTAAAGCCATTCTTGAGGCCATACTGTTCCTCTCCATGATCACATTGTGCTTTTAGTGGCAAGCTGCTTTATCAGAACTCATACCCTGAAAGGAAAAGGTCTCACAGCTCCAGGTAACCAAAAATATCCAACCCTAATTGCTGATTTTCCTCCTCAGCCTCCAAATCCCCTGTGCATAAACTCTACCAACACATCACATTTCATCCCCATCCCAACATGGTCTTGTGACAAAGCACAACATTTTAAACCTCCCACCATGTGGCACTTGAGGACCTGGCTTAGTGGTGAACACAATGCTGGTTGATGATCTTAAAGGTCTTTTTCACCCCTAATGACTCCTTGGTTATATGATTCTATGATTCCTGAGAAGATTATGAGAATAATTAAGCTTCCAAGATAAGAAAGCCATGGAAAAAAATTCAAGACTTCATCACTGACTATTTTGTTTGCTCCTGTAGAAGTTGTGAAAACACTGATTTTTTTGGACTATAGTTCTTCTTGCTGTAAATTAATTATTCTGCCTCTAGTTCTGTTTCTTATCAGCCAGGTACACAGGGAAAGAATGCAGCATGTCTGAAATTCCCTTCACAGCCACAAACCTGTTCACAGTCTGAAAAGTTTCTGAAAGCTACAGATGAAAAATATGAAGCCATATGAACTTAAAAGGAAGGAAAAAAAAAGAAAAGGAGCAGGCACAAGTAACTCCTGCAAAGGCACACTGCTTTCTAGACAAAGGGCAGCTGTCAGCTGAATACCTTCCATGAAGAAACCAAATGATCCCTTTTGTAGAAAATGACAGTGGAGGATTAAAATGAAAAGTGGCCAAATAATTTACATGAGATGAGAATCCGTATGATGGTAAAGAATGTAGATATCCTTGAAGCCGTTTCATTTCAATAACACTGAAGCCTAGAAAAATTGCAGATTCAGAGAAACCCTCTTTCTTTCAGGGATAATGTGCTTAGGACAATGATGGAGAGGGAATCCATCTCAGCCCAGGGCTCTGTAATGGAAGGAGAAGTCTCCCCCCACTCTTTACCAAGGTGCCCCTCTCTGAATTCCTGCAATAGCTGCCAATCTTTTATTTTTTTTTCCCTTCTGTTCTTGAGGCTGAGATATCAGATGCATTAAGCAATGCCTCAGTAGTGTTCCTGATAATCCACAGTGGAAGTTTTGTTGCTTCCTATCAGCTTTGCAGCTGCCAGGGAAGTGTCTGAAATGACAACCACGGAAGGATGTGTGGAGTTGGTGCTTTTCCAGATAAGGAAAGAGATAAAACCCCCCAAAACTGATCAAAAGACCCCAAGTTGAGGAAATGCTTAGTTTACAGCAGGACCTAATGGTTAAAACTTCTAAGTGTGGGAGTGGAGAGGCTCAAAAGTGTTGCAGGTAACAATTGACAGTGCTGCTGCAGCTGAGTCACTCTCAGGTGAGGTCACTCAGGTATGGGGACACAGATCACCCTCTCTTGAGGATAAGTGACCTTGAAATTAATGGGAGGTAAGAATACACAGATGGATATTTACTGAAGAACAACAGACACGCTGCAATCCCTCACTTCATTTCTTGTTTGCAACCCTGGGCTTCCACTTCCACTCCAGTGAGAGCTTCACCTGCAAGTGAAATATCCTGGCACTCTTGGGGCTCCAACTCCTCTGCTGGAGATCAAAGAGGTCACAGAAGGGTTTGGGTTGGAAGGACCTTGAAAACCCTCTATAATTCCCTCCCCCTGCCATGGGCAGGGACCCCTTCCATTACCCCAGGCTGCTCCAAGCCCTGTCCAACCTGGCCTTGGACACTTCCAGGAATGGGAGATTCATCTTCCCCAAAACTCAGGCTGCAGTCCAGCTTAACACAATTTAATCACAGAGCAAAGGGAATGATCCCATGCTCTCCTTCATTCCCTTTCTGCAGGAATGCTTTGTGCCCAGCTGCCTCCCTGGTCCAGCTCCCCACACGTGC